AAGCCCTAGTTGAAGGAATAAAAAAATTAGTATCAGGGAGCTCTTTTTTCTACTCGACCCAGTAATTACTACTAATCAGCCCGAAACTGGTTAAAATGCGCCATGTAACTCCACTCCCTCGTAATTCGATACAATGAGACTTAGCTTACGCGAACTACGGAACTCCAAAAGAATCCATCATTCATGAAAAAAAAACAGGAAACAGATTATAATTCCCAAATGAAATTTCCGATAAAATCAATAATTACATGAGCAGCTCAAAGTTTTCACCTAGTTACATATGTAGTGTGTAAGACTGCATCCCACGTTGCCAGGTGACCACTGTGCTCATACCTGTACGTTCCACTGAAAAGAAGAATAAGCGCACTATATAGAAGACAGTCGTGCCACGAGGCCACTATGATGCCATTTATCCCCTCAGAAATTGAGTTCCAATGGAAGGAACTCCGAGCAAGTGCCAGCATCCACGCAGCTTACCGATCTCTGCATGAAATGGAGCTGATCGATTATCGTGAACTCATTCCTCGAGTCAAGCGTAAGTGGTTCTAAGGGTGTCTAACGGGATTAGCCAGATTGTTGTTTGTAAACCTCCTCGTGTAAAAAGAAACCACCGATTGCCGGCATTGCTTCTTGGCGCTGACTATTGGCGACTATAAGGGCAGTCTAATGAAGAATAAGCCAAATAAATTTCACTAATCTGTGTTGAGGGAAGCCGATCGATTACCGTGCACATCATTTAGATGGTTGGGTGACTAACTGGTAACTTCAGCGCAAGTCTACATCAAAAAAGTAGAAAAAGAGCACTACGGTTCTTGCTTCGCTGCTGATGGTGGGGCGTGTGTAAAGGGTGAAACGGTTTTCAGCGCGGTGCGCCCGTTTTATCCTCCTTTTTTTCTTTTGACTTACGACAAGACTGCATCCTATAGCTCGTACCACTCGTTTTCTCCAGTTGTCGCTTACCCGCTTCAACGTGGTAGAGAACGGGCCGAACCCAGTCTCACTGACACGCCTCTCCAACCACAGTGGACACTGCAAATGTATCTGCATGGATAATGGGTCAATCGATTATCGTGCACATCCTGTGAGAGCTGACTGTGAGTAACTCCAAAGCAAACGTTCAAGACATATAATTAATTGTTCGCGAAATCTTTGTACCGAAAGGAGCCATTCGATTATCTGCACATCATCTTGATGCTGACAGGTGGGAGCAACGAGGGCAGGCTAATGAAGAGAAGGCCAGATTAATGTTATTAAATATCCCTGGGAGAACGGAAGCCAACCGACTCCAGTGCACGTCACCTTCGAGTCGAACGTTAGTTTTCCCAAGGTTCTAGTGAACAACAAGGTAGAAAAATGGGTGCAGTTCAGCGAGGAGGAGGGCTTTTGAACTTTCGCTGCTTCACTTTGTTCCGGTTATCAAGTGTCACCCTGGTGGAACCTGTGAACTCTTACTGTTAGAACTGGAGCGGCCTCGCCGAGCCATAAAGCCTGTGAACTCACAAAAAAGGCTCTTCGGATAAGTCGACACTTCGATGGGAAGTAGCAAAAGTGCGGAATTGTGTTCAAATGTTGTTTTATGGATAAGAGGTAATCGATTGTCGTGCACACCCCTCTGAGCTAAACTTTAGTAATCCTAAAAGTCGTCGCTAGACAAGGAATTGAGACAGAAATGATTGTTGGCATCAGTTTTGACCAGTAAAGGAATAAAAGGAAGCCAATCGATTATCGTGAACATCGTTATTTCAGCTGAATGTTAGTGGTTCTAAATAGCTTCTAAAAGAGCAAGCAGGATAAATACTATTATGCCTTTTCATGGATAGAAGCCAAAACGAATCAACTGCACTTCACTCAATAATTCACTCAATAATTTAATCATGCCACGCGCGTTCTATTCAGCAGCCATACCACATAAATTAATATTATATAGGAGTTGATCGCAGCATTATCATAATCTTATATAATTCTCTTGAGAATCACAAGTTTGAAAGACAGCGGAACCATGTGTAGATGTGCCCTCAATTTGCATTGGAAAATAACCCCAAACCGGAATACCATGTACCGTGCAATAATAATCACATGCGAGAATTGTCGACAACATCATTGAGATCGATAAAAAAAAAGTTAGCAATTTTTGGTATCTGGAAGAATCGTCTGGCAGTGCATGATGAGATCCAAGGAGGATTGCTGCTCCACAAGATTTGCCCACACTTTCGCCGCTTCTTCAGTGTAATCCTGCTTCACCTCTCTGAAATACAGTAGTTTCAAAAGTTTACTTCAGACAACTGAAGCAGAACTCAAGTGGACATGCTGGTTTACCACTAAGATACTTATGAGTAACACTTCGCCTGTGGTAAATTCATAACAAATTTGAAAATAATGTCGTTCCCGGTGCGGTCTCCGGCGCATGTCAGAGGGACAGGATTTGGCGCTGCTTCAACCCGTTTTCGGCTTGACCACTGCAACATGGTAGAGAATGGGTTGGCCGCGCGCTCCCAAAAAAAACCAACCCAGCCCTCAACACGCACCACTCTGTAGCGAAAACGACTGTACACACTGTGTTAGTTGCATAGCCCCTAATTCTCCTGACTCTTCAAGAAAGTTAACGATTATTATTTGTTTCCAGTTGAGGTTATACTCTAGTTCGCTGCGGATGAAGGGGCGTGTCAGGCAATATGTGCTAGGGAAGCAAACAGTTCGCTGCCAGTTGTTGAAGCAGGTATACGACAACATCCGGTAGAAAAACTTTGATACCATCGATATGATACAGCCTCGTCACTTGTTCGCCTCAACAGCTGGTTGAGAAGGGTTTGGCATCGCGCCAAACTCATCGCCTGACAGCCCCAATGTGCAAAATCGATTACACACCCCGAAACTAGCGAAGTATCCAGGCTCTTCTCAAGTAGGTAACTCAGGTCCCCAGGTGTCAAGAAAGTGACCTCTTAGCTGAGTTTGAAAGCACCTAGAAAGTGGGCTGCAAGAGTATTGTCTGAATTTATGGGGCCCATGCTGATCCAAGCTACCCATATGCAAGTGCAGCAGCGTTGTGCGTTTCTTTTGTGTCGCCGTTCTTTAACTTTTGCAGTCCCGCTTTTCCCTGCTCTCTCGCTTAGGCGCTCAGTGTTTCTTGTGCTTCCATGCGACGCTCTAATTTGAGTGTTTTTGACTACTTCTCTTCGATTTTGTCGTCCCAGACGAGTCGGTCAGCACCTACAGCTCTAATAGTCAGCCCTCACATCGTGCTACATTGAAATGGGAACCTGGCCCCGTTTGCCAGTTGTGACCCTAGTTGCTACAACTTTACTACCCCCATACTGACACTAGAGCCGAAAACGAAACCTATAACTGTCAACTTACACAACACCATGAGCAGTCTTCCTCTTATGGCTGTCAAATTTGAAGTAGGGACGAGAAGTTTGATAGGCAATCAGAACTTGTGTATCATTTCTTCGATCAGTAAACACTTTTTCCATAAAAAAATTGTGTTGGTCGCCCTTGAATGAGACAGGATCAGTCACCTGAAAAAGAGTTGCAGGAGATCAAAAAACAAAAGGGAATCCAGAAATTTGAAGTTTCCAGCACACATTCGCCAAGCTGCTCGTTTCGAGCGTACGCCAGCGTCCACTAGGAAAGCATGGATATCGATCTGGTGAATGCCAGCGTCTACCAGAGTCTGCCAGCGTTCGCAAGCCACCAGGAAAGTGTGAACAATCAATCTTAAGCAGCGCTTTAGCGTCACCAGCCGTTCTCGCGAGACTAGGAGAGTATAGGGTGTTGATCTGCGAACGCCAGCGTCCACCAGCGTACAGCAGCGTGCTCGCGTGCACTTTTGAACTTGAGCAAAACTGCCCGCGAAAATGATGGTGGACGCTGGCGCTCTCAGATCAATACCTATGCTTGTCAAGTTCCTCAAGGCGCTGAGTGGACGTGGGATGGTGCTGGTAGACGCTGGCATCACTAGATTGATATCCATATTTTCCTAGTCGCTGGTGGGCGCTGGCGAACGTTCTAAATACTACTGAGTGGTGGTGGTCGCTGTTTACGCTGACGCGAGGTATACACAGGCTCTTGCGTCAAAGCTGTTTAAAGCGATTGCGAATCTCATTACACAAACGCTCTACACGTCTGCTTAAGACAAAGACATTCGCAGTTGCCGCCGCCCATGCAGTTGAATACGAGGGCACGCCCCTTCCAGTGCGAGATATGGGCTGTAGAAAGTGCAACGGGAACTGAGATTTTTATTATTTTCAGGTACTCAAATCTTTGCTAGGCAATTTTGGATCTTCTTTGCATTCCACGGCAATTAAACTTTAACGAGGCTCGAGGCGGGGCACATAGTCAAAATACTGAACTTTTCAAAACATGCCCACTTCACTCCAAATCTGTTGTCGAGCTGGGATGAGGGGGGGGGGTAGAAAACAAGCATACCATTAACTGTAACGATGACACTAATGCACTATGACTGTAAAACTGTCACAACACTGACTATGGGATATATAGCGCACCTAACGAGGGGGGACATCAACTATGGGAAAACTTTTCATCTGGATTCATGGGGAAAAATTGGCTCCTTTTAAAAAGTAAAAGGTGATACCCTCCGTGCGTGGGATGGAGGTGGTGTAGTGACGATTAGCCCCGCTTATCAGGTGTGAAGTCCACGGGTAAATCTCCAATCAGGTCGCAGCCCAGACCAACAAAACATTCTACCTTCTGATTTCGTCAATTGTTGCCAGACCTATTGGGAGGATAAAGGGACTGTGTTGTACATTGACTCGCCCGTGCAGGACATTATTCAAAGCAGGGGGCATTCCAGTGTCACCACAGTTATGAAAAGAAGTAGGATGCAGGGCGCATCTCAATAGAGGATTGTTCAGATTTCTAACTAAACGGCGTGAAGGCCCCCATCCCCGGAGCAATATAGGTTTGAGAATATCCAGTTGGACAATTTGGCAAGAACTCACCGTTGTGGACATGGAACAGGTTTGATTACTGCATGAATCAAGCATTTTAGCAGGCTGCACCCTTAAGTTCGTTCGAAAAGATTCAGAAACAGCAGTATGTACTTTTTTCCGCTGGAAGTACCAATATACGTGATTTCACCTGCAATTGCAAATCGAGCTGTTTAAGAAAAATGGCGGCAGTGCTCAAGCTGATGATCCCTGCGAACGATGGGGCGTCTGTCGCGACGCGAATTGCAGTGCAGCCAGGGCGCGGTTTTTCCACCAATAATGCCATCCTGAGCCCGACGCAGCCGATGAGAATCCAAGTCATGTCAAGTCACGCGCCCTCTCATTTGCAGGACATGACTATATCAGGTTGACCGGAAAGTTTCCCGCCACGCTGTTTGATCGCACCATATTAGCCTTGCATGTATGTTTATGACTTATCGTGGGGTGTGCATGAAGCACGCAAGAGACTCTTTCACATCACTACCTCACACTCACCCAGCTTGCATTTGGATTCCAAAATGCCGCCCAAGTTTCAACCCGACAGGATGCACCTGAGGCACTGTCTTTTTTCCTTCATCAGTCTGGCTTAAACGCAAAGGAAGCCCAAGCCAAGATAGTGGATACATATGGCGCTGACGCTATCTCTTACGACACGTGCAAGACCTGGATGGCCAAGTTCAAGAAAGGAGATTTTTCTCTCCAAGATGCTCCAAGGTCCGGCCGGCCGATGGAGTTAGACTTGAAGTTGCTGCAATCCACCGTGGAAGAGGATCCGTACGCCACTACCAGGGAACTTGCAGCGATGCTCGGCCATGCCCAATCAACTGTTGAATCTGGGCTGGAGAAGATTGGTAAAGTCGCAAAGCTTGGCCGTTGGATTCCTCACCAATTCAATGGCGGGGAACTTTCCAGTCAACCCAATACTTTGCGTGATGCTCACAAACGTTCGAGCTTCAACTCTTTATGATTTTCACATCCTTCAAAGAAGCGCTGTCCGTGCAGACTAGACTTTAGTAGAACAGTCATTCATGCAGTTCTAATCACGAACTGGAGCCGTAGGTGATGCTACAGGGTGTCAGCAGCTACGTTTGGCACAGTGCCAACCTGTTCTCGCAATTGCTGACATGCAACGACAAACACAGTTGGTGGAAAAACGAGCGAGCATCGCGACGAACCCAGCTCCATAATACGGCAAGTCCCAGGCTCTTAATACCCTCCAGGCTCATTTCCGCATTTCCGCACGCTTTCGAGGGTTGAAAGCGTCACACTTGTTCAGCTGCCAACCCGTTCTACTCGCCCATGGAGACGATCATCCTTGGAGGCTAGCGCGAAGTTAACCTTCACGTGGAAAAATCATGGGCAGAGTGCTACGTAATGTCCTGTTCACTGCGGATGACAGGGCGTGTCAAGATACACTCCTTATCCCTGAGCCAGGGTAGGCGTGACATTCTACCATGGCGCGGAACTGGTTACTCGTGGTATATCCCAGTCTGGGACAACTGTCTTACTCGTGGTATATCCCAGTCTGGGACAACTGTCATCTTGTTCTGTGTTGGACAGAGACACGACAACAGTTGTGTGAAGATGGAAATATTTCACTAGAAGCATAGACGCCTTCAGGTTAAGTTGAAACATGCGGCCACGCCTACCCGATCTCAGGGATTTCGAATATAGAAATAACGGGTTTATCATCTCGGCGCAACTGTTTCTTCCATTATTTTTCGGCAAATTACAGACTGCACCATATTACTCGTATCAATCGTTTTCTACAAGTTGTTGGCGCTTATCCGCTTTAACAACTGATTGAGAGCGGGCTGGCCAACTCCGCCTAACTGATCCTTCCCATCATTCGCAGAGAACAAAATGTGTTTTAATGAAGGTGTTTGAGAACACATCAAAACCATCTAGAGCTCAGTTGTGATGAAAGGGAAAATTTCGAGAACTCACCGGAACAGATATAGCACTGAAGGTATTCACACGACTCTCAGAACTAGGCGTATGGTGCAGATTAATTGTGAATATTTTCAGAAGCTCTTCTTGTGTTTCTGGCTCTAGGTTGAACAGCCTTCCTGTAAGAGATTGCGTTGTGATTTCTCACTCCTAAGTTGTTCACGCATACATCGTTATTGTGCAAAACTTTATCTTTCATTTGCTAGAAAAAAGGCTAGAATGACGAGAAAGGGAAGCGAAACCAGCTATCAGAATCTCCATTCTAGCTATTTATTAGGGAAAGCGGACGAGTTAGCTGTTATCATGCCACCACGCCGAGCACCCCATCTCTGCCGTAGAGGGCTAGAGCGCAGAGGTACGAAATCTCGTGGAAGAGTCGAAGTACGGTTGGGCCCTACGAAGTTGCCAACAGTGCACTCTTTCGTGCCATGAATATCCTATTAGAGCCCGGCCTCGGGTAATATTATATTGGCATTTTTCCTAATATGCCCCCTACCCAAATATCGAGCCCTGCCTTCAGATAGCCTATGACAATATATACAAAGGTCTTTGCAATGCAAATTTTATCGAGACAAGGGTATAGGCAGTGCCTTTGACATTGCTTTTGTCCAATACTACTCGGTCTAGCATTGGGATTTTGCCGATCTCAAGGGCCAGGTAGGACTTAGGGAGTCACAGTCAGCATGCGTGACAGTGTAAAGATTACTTTGCTAAGCACTCGTTGCAAACTTATTCCAGTCAAACGTATCCTTCACACCAAATGTCGCACAAAGTGGCTAAAATTTCTCACTTGATTTTAGCTTCTGCTATGCCCTATCCTCGATAAACGAGATTCGGATGGTTGCTGGTTCCGATAGGTCGTGCTCTTCCTTTTTCCTTATCGCCGAGAGCCTGAGCAGTTGCTCTTCCTAGGGGGGAGGGATAGGCATCCTTTTTCGTTTTATTAAAGAGAGAGTAGCTGTGAGACACCGAGCATCTGTACACTCTATATCCCAGAAAGTGGGAGGGAGTGGCTGCTCAGATCGTATTGGTTGCACTTTCATTGAAATATTGTCATTTTGGTGCAATTGTGATCACGCTGTTCAGCACAAGAAGGATGACAGTTATCTCGAATGGAAATATCTGACGAAAAACGCCTCGTACGTCGTGTTCAGATAAAGAACTAGGCCACACTCTCTCCATATCCAAGGTAATAAGTGTGAAATACAGCGAGAGATACCACAAATAGTGCTGAACTTGTAAGAAAGGTAGTTATCTCTCGTGAACATTTTCTCTACAATAGCGAAGCGTTCCCTTTTCAAGTTTCCCCCTATTTTGACATCTCGAATGGGTCCTCCCAAATCAGCAGATTTGTTTAGTTTGACGTAACCTTTGTGAAAGGAAATCGCATGAAGCCAGAAATTAAAAGTCTACCATGTTCAGTGCTGTTTTCGGAATCCATCTGATACAGTTCATCTTCGACGTTTTCCATGACAAAGTCCGAGTGACGGATCGCAAACACTTCTGCAATTTTCTGCACATCTCTTGTGATGATGCTCCTGCCAGATGTCGTCCAGTACCTGCAAATTTTTCGCTTATTCCAACCAATAGTTCCAGGGACCTGATTATGAATGGGTAACTAATTCCAGATATGTACAAAACCGACTCTTCAACCGACTCTTGGAACCAGCTCAGTAAATGGTGAAGGTTTGGAACTTTTGGCGTTGAGCCCAAATCATTCCCTTGCTGGGATGCGCCCCAACCTACCCTCATTTATAAGCTCAGGACAGTTTGGATGCGGTTCTGTCTACAGAAGATAAAGGATAAAGTCTTCGCCGTTGATCAATCCCTTTGTGGGATGCGGCACGCATTCTACTTCCATTCAGAATCGTAGTGGCTTATTGAATGCGATGTGGCCTATACAATGACTTGCGGGGCCAGCCGATGTACAAGTCAGTGTTCTTATCCTCCCAGACGAATCTGGTACCAATTCACCGTCCCCCATGGAAAGAGGGCTTGGTTGGCCTGGGCGGGAGCTGACCAGGGATCTGACCCGCGAACCGCGAGATGACAAGCGTGCAACTTGCCACCAAGGCACCCCTGCCTCAGCCAATGCATACAGTTAATGGCGCCGATTGCCTGAGTGAGAGGGGCATTTTGCAAGATCTGTCAAAATAGCGGGCTGGGACACGAACGATATCATACGCCACAAAATGCTATCATTTTCATTTTGCACGCACAAATAACTCGGTTGGGGGGGACACTACAATTCAAGCGCTCAGGCGCTAACAAATAGTATTTGTAGAATGCATGATGCATTTAGCTGCAACTGTGCATCCTAAGGCTGCGTTTATACTTTGCGGCAGCGTAGCGTAGCGCTTCCAGCGTACGCCAGCGGCAGTGCCGGGGAGAGGATGCATATCGATCTAGCGTTCCCAGCGTCACCAGCGTCACGCTGGCGTACGCTAGCGTTACGCTGGTGACGCTGGGAACGCTAGATCGATATGCATCCTCTCCCCGGCACTGCCGCTGGCGTACGCTGGAAGCGCTACGCTGCCGCAAAGTATAAACGCAGCCTTAAATGAGTCCAGGTGGACCACTA